ATTTATAAGAGTGACACACTACAAGTTGTGTGTGCGCACAACAGAGCAGACCACGTGAATGCCTGTCTGCAGCAAACCTAGCATGTTCAAACATGCACTAGTCATTGCTCTCATTTTGATCATATTTCAGACTAAACACTAGATGGATGAGTTGATGTTTTGTAACAACATCCATGCTTACCCAATTCACACTTTGGGTGTATCAAATTTGTCATAACAAAATGCAGAGGATAAATAAAAATCTTACAAGAAGCCGTTAAAGATGCATCACAGGTTGTGGGTTGTGTTCTTTTATCTTTTTTCTTTTAAATCACTGAGTGATCAGCGACAATCAGTGACTAACTTTTAAACTTAAACAGTAATCATTTAACTAGTTCTTATTTCACAAACACCAATGACAATTTTATTCAGAGTCAAAAAAGAAGCTCTAGAACATCTAGAAAAAGCTCATACATATTTCAGTTGATTAAAGCCTATAACTTCATGGAGCAATTAAGTCTTGCATATAGAGCAGCTTTACTGTAATGACCTAGATTCTGTACATCTCAAGAGGGGTATTTGGTGGCTTGCTAGAGGCAAACTGCTATGAGGCACATGTGAAACATTCCAAGCCAGAGAGAGAGGGAGAAAAAAAAAAAAAAAACTTTGCACACTGACAGAGATCTTTTCTCAGCAAGCTTATGATACTGACATACCATCTCTTTTTCTCATATTTATCTTGTAGGAACTCCTTGACTTTCTGTGGTTCTCTGAAGTCTGGTACTGAAGAGGTTCTGTCATCATAAAGACCGAGCCAGATCTGTTTACAAACCTGAGAACACACAGAGTTAGACAAAGGGATTTTTGGAGGAAACGGCACACACACACGCACAGAGCTTTGCCATCAGTCATTATTAGTAATGAAATTGTTCCAATAAAGGAAAAATAGACAAGCAAATAAAAAGACAAGCCACATGTAAGATAAAGTTGCAGAGTAAAGAAAAAACAAAACAGAAAACCCCCTCTGACAGATAAAGGGGTTGCGAACCTCTGCCCTGGTGTGAACCTTTGCAGCAATAAGTACAAAAAAGCATTTCTGTCTTGGGATAAAATTCCACATTGGAGTGGTGGAATTTTATCCCATGTTTTGAACACATTTGACTCTGGGATGAGGGTGGAATTCTTCACGTGGACCACGTGCTTTAGGCTATTCCATTTTAGTTTGCTCAAGTTCAGGACTTTCCAAAACAAGCTATTCCAAAAGATCCACTTTATTTTTCTGTAAAAATATTGGAGAACAAACATGTTTGGTGTACATATTGCCTTAAATAAATTGCAAAATAATATATTTTATGCATCTTAGACTGCAGTGGTCTTATTTCTGTTTCCAGACACAGTGACCTCATTATAACAGCACGGTAGTGGCTCTCTGGGGGAACCAGAAGACTCCCGGTCATCATACAGTTCAAGACAGTAAAGCTGTAGTAGGTCTAACTTCAGGATGAGCCTTGGAGCGGTGCATCATTATTAAGGACCACCACAATGACAACCCGGCAAATGAGCCAAAAAGAAAGAGAAACAATGACAGGGGGACGGCTGGTGTGAGCTGAATAGTCACAACTGGACTTTCAGGATGTCTAGAAGTAGATCAGTTGTGGATGGCATTGTTCTCCTGGATAAAACATAATAAAAACAAACAAAACAAAAACTCTGTGCTGATATGAGTCACCAACTATACTTGGGCAGCTATTAATATTATCTAGGCGTTGTCAAAATAAATACTTTGTGAGAAAAACACTGCTTTAAACAGGAAAACACTGGGACTGGGCACCAATTTATGACCAACAGTTTATAACATTATTTCCCATATAGACTTTAGTTGGGTAAGCCACCAGCCACATAAATTAAATCCTCCTTCCGCTCAGTGTTTGTCAAGTGCGCTCTATGAAGACAGAAAGGTAACTTACAGGCAGTATTTATAGACCAGCCTTCAAGCGTATATGCATCAGCTCCAACCTTGAGTCTCCTTCATGTCTGCTTTCCATGCCACTTTGCCACATCCTTTAATAGACTGTCCTTCGTGGGTGGCACTGCACTATTTCGTACTCTGTTTACTCGAAATATCTCGTCCCTTCGGTATTTTGCACAGTGCAACTGGTCGATTGTTTATACTTCTCATAAGTAAATAGGTGCCAGTATAATGCATGAAATGCTTGACCTGTCTATTCAATAAAAGTGTGACACAACACCTGTATTAAACTGACAAAACATTTGCCTTACAACAATTTTTGTTGTCGGAAAGTAGCATCCACTTTTTAATCTAGAGTTTGTTTTATAAAACTTTCTACCGCAGTAAAATGATAATAGTCCACATGAATTTCAAGCGTGCCTAAATTGCTTTATCAAGCATATGTGCAACAGGCTACTTAAATACAAACACTAAAGCAGAACTTTCACAACAGACACAGCCCATTTCAAGATTTTTAGAGGCTGACTTTATGCCAACCTGTCTATTAAATATTGAATAGACGAGGACAAACAATGATGGCTCAACCAAAAGCTAATCTAACTAGTCAGAAAGGAAAGCAGTGGGAAGGTTGACCTCGGGCTTAATTTCTAACTTTATTAATTGACAGGGCCGAGTTGCCGTTCCTACCTCATTGCCATGTTTCTGTAAGAACTCTATTTCCTGTTGCGTGAAGGTTGTCATGGAGATGGACTTGACTCTGTGGGGTGGATTCAGTCCTCGTCTATGGAAAAATAGAAACAAGGGTCAATTTAATTTGAAGACCACATACATGAAAACCTCATCTTGATACACTCCAGAGCCCACCTCTCAGGACGGGACCATTTAATTAGCTGAAAGCTGAATGGTTGCTG